AAAAGGTTCTATCTGTTCATCATCCTTGTGGAAGAAGTAACTGTATTTTCAATCTCTATGGTTAACATCTCAATTGAACAAAACTGACCTACTTAACAAGATATGGCGTGCATCAACAGATGGAACATATATATGGCCCCATCTTTACAGGCATCACCCATGATATATTGAACCATACACCCTCCTTTTGACTAGATTTTCATGCCCTTCTTTGAGCTGCTCCCAGAACCCTCCGAAGCACCAAAATATGACATGTTTTCCTACATTTTAGCATCACCCTGCGATTCTTATTCAGGGTCTAGATGTAACACCTGTTGCACTAACTCAGCCAAAAAATAAGCTAAGCAAAGGATGATATTGCCTATTTACATTTGATAAACTGTAGACTAGGCAGCAATAAATAGCTCCACAGTTTTCTTGGGCACTGGTGTTGCTGCTCCAGCAGGTTGAGCAAAATTAAGCTAAAAAGTAGAAAATAATCTTCTCATCCTGAAGCAACATATAATAAACCATCCAAAGGAGAAAAGGAAGTTTATACTTACAGCAGTGAGCATGGAGAACGGCCGCCATTTACGTAGTAAACAAATAAGTAGGAATCATAATGCTGTCCATTGATCAGATAAAAACCATGTAACCTTCGTACACACTTGAATGACATTTTCTTGTACAGAAGGATGGCAGGATTGTTGTAGGAGATTACATGCAAATACACTCCTCGGCATGTTGGAATGCTGGAAGCATATTTGATGATCTCGTGAATAAGTGAAGTAGCTGGAACATTATATCTAAAGATTTAGTATTCAAATAACAACACTTTCAGGGAGTATACGCCATACAAGAGAGGTCCTACCTATCCCAAGGTTTCTATATGTCTCAACAACTCCCAGTGTCAGAATGTAGACAAGAGTTTGATCCGAAGTTGATCCATCATATCGAATCAAATCTGCAATCTGTAAAAGGTTAAGCCAAGTTAATGTCAATACTAGAAAGTCAAAGACATGCACTAATATTGAAAAAAAAAAATCCACATATTAGCCTTATAAAATAAATGCACATAAAAGCTTGAAAGTGATTTGCAAGAAGGAAGTAATTCCCTCTCTAGTTTAGTTTAACATGACACTTTGAAGCAAAATCCTCCAGCAAATTCTACCTAAGAGGTGCAATCAAAAGATCTAAATAAGTCACACTCCAAGTGAAATGTCCGTGAGTTTGAAGAACCTTGTGGAAGGCACCACATCAGTTAAATACATTTGAAAGTACAACATTCTCATTAAACCCTTTTGATACAAAGTACAGAAACAAATGCAATGCAACAAAATCAAAAGAGGACTCACCTCACTTTCTTTTGCCAACACAATTCGAGCAGTAACAAATCCAACAAGTTCATCACTCTGAACATTTGGTCGACTTCGGTCAACAGCAGCCCAGGATACAATTTCACGTCCATTAACAACACTTTTAAAAAACTCAGACTCATACCTGAA